TGAGTAAGAAGAGCATAGGGCCATCTCCTCGTCCCAGGGCTACTTGACATGCTCTTTTCTGCACATTTCCCACCATCCAGAGACCTTGGCAGGAAAACTCCCTGCCATCCTACCCCGATCCACTGCCACACATGCTCACACTCACACACATACTTACTCATGTAACACACGCTCACACAACACACACACTCATGTAACACACACTCACACAACACACACACACACTCACACCTTTTACTTTATAATCAGGGAGGTAAGTGGACCCAGGTAGTGTAAGCTGAAAGAAAAAAAGCTTCCTCCTCAACCCCCAGCTCACCAGAATGCAACCTCCATTCCAGAGACAGCAGAAATACTCAGCTTCAAGCAGCCAAAGATCCACTAACAGTGTTTAGTGGACGATACACATCGGTCTGCATACAGCCTTGGATCACTGAGACCATCAAAGTTTAGTGCTTTTTTTTGTATACTAGAAAGGCTCTGACGCATCTGGTCAAACGTGTCATCTGACAGCTCCTGAGCGTGGTGGCAGTTGGAGAAGTGAAATGACCTCCCCATAGTTACACGACTTATAAGTGATCCAGCCAGGACTTGAACCCTAGGTCCAACTGACTCCTAACTCCCAAGCCAGTCCTCTCCCACCTCCTGAACCATCACCACCAGCTCCCGCCAGACCATACAGTACATGGGTGCTTGTGTGTCCATGCACTCTCTCACACACTCACGCACACGCACATGCACGCACACACGCACGTCGCTGCTCCTAGCTGGACTCTTGACAGTAGGTACCTGGCCAACTCGGTGCAGACCTCACACAATCCCTAAGTGCAAAATGGGGAGCTAAGGTAGAGTTTGGCGCTGTGACCCACAGAGGGTGGCAGGCCCTCCAGAATCAAGGCCCTATCATGTCAGACGTTCCATGTGCAAAAACCAGGCTCTCGCTGGGATGGGCAGCTGCATGAACAGCGGTCAGCCACTTCTCAAAGGGCTGTCCCACTTCCAAAGTTTGAGAGGAATTTCTACTGAGTTCTGACCCCGGATTTAGCCAGCATTTCCTATCAGATGGGGCGGAGGCTTGGCATCCTGCTATTAGGAGGGCAGCTCCCAGTCATAGCTGCAGACTGGGCGCACAGTTTGCAGTAGCGTCATCTTAAGCACAGCAAGATGCCTCCTGTAAGCCGGCGACAGGCCCCCAGAGGTCCAGAGAGGCCCTTGCCACCTGCAGCTGTTTAGGCCCAGTAAGAACAGAATGGTGAGGACAGAAGGGAGATAGTTTAACAGCAGAATTTTTAGGCTTTGGTGACGGATCTGACGTGGGGGCCTAGGAGAAAAAGAGTCACAGTTGGCAGCGATAGAAAAAGCAGCTGTGAAGTTCCCAGCACAGGGCGGCCGTGGGGGGCTGGGAGGAAGGCTGTGGTAAGGTTTTCTCAGCACCCCGGCCCTGTCTCTGGGAACAGAGTCAAGCTTCAGCTAATTAAGAATTTGTCTCACCTTCCTCTTCCTACATTGCTTTCAGGAAATGGCCCCACCACCCCCGCAGTCACTCAAGCCAGAAGGTTGGGAGTTATTCCCAGCTCATCGACCCCTCCCCACCCCCAGTCCCATCCACTTCGAGCTGTCCCCTCTTCTCCATCCCCTTCTGCCTTAACTTTGTTCAGCTCCTTTATTTCAGCAATACCTCTTTCTAGCTGGTTCCGTTTTACCTCCCTCTGATCTGTCTGTCGTGTTACCACTAGAGAGATCTGTCTACAATGCAAATCATGTCATGCCATTCTCAGGCTTAAACTCTCTGCGGTGTCTCAATCCAGCACCATCTGCCATGCCTTGGCACTCACTTCTCCCCTCCGAGGAATGCTCTTGCCTCTTCTTGTCACCTTAAAATGGCCAGTTGTCCTGCACAGATATCGGTGGCATTTTGAGGGGAAATGATCAAGCGGGAAGCCTAAACTCCGGACCCACAGAGGTTGCCCCAACGCAACATCTCAACTTAGATGACTCACGGACACTTCAGACTCAAGGTATCCAGAACCAAACCTTCAATGTCCTCACTTCTACATGCCATCCCGAGCCTGTCCCTCCTCTGGGGACAGAGCACCCCAACCCAGGAATTCAAGCAAGAAAGCTGGCTCGCTGTCCCTTGCTCCTCGTTTCGCCTTTCACAGCCTTAGATCCAATCCAGCTTTCCCATCTCACATTTGTCCACTTCTCTCCATCTCCGCTGCCCCCACCTGTGTCTAAGCCATTGTTTCCGGCCTGGACACAGCGGCACCTTCTGAACTGTTCCTCCTGTTTCCACTCGGCCCCACTCTCACCTGTCATCCACACAGCAGCCAAAGATCTTTTTATTTCTCTACAGTTTTAATTTTATTTCTCTTTTGAGGAGGTAATATATTTACATGGATTAAAATTCAAATGGTGATAAGGGTCTGGGATCCAGATTATACAAACACCTCTAACAATAAAAAGACAAACAAACCAATTAAAAAATGGACAAAGAACTTGAATCAACATTTCTCCAAAGAAGACACACAAATGGACAATAAAACTGTGAAAAAATGCTCAATGTCACTAAACATTAGGGAAATGCAAGTCAAAATCACAATGAGATACCACCTCCCACCCAGTAGGAGGGTGCTATCAAAAAAATGAAAAATAAGCATCGGCAAGGATGGGGAAAAATTGGAACCTTTGTGCACTGTTGATGGGTATACAAAATGGTACAGCACTATGGAAAATGGTTTGGAATTTCCTCAAAAAGTTAAACATGAAATTACCATATGACCCAGCAATTCTACTCCTAGGTATGTACCCAAAAGAACTGAAAATTCAATTCAAACCAATACATGTACACACATGTTCATAGCAGGACCAACCACCATAGCCAGAAGGTGGAAACAACCGACATGTCTGTCAACTGATGAATAGATAAACACAATGTGGTATACACATAAAATGGAGTATTATTCAGCTGTAAAAAGTAATGAAATACTGATACATGCTACAACATGGATGAACCTCAAAAACATTAAGCTAAGTGAAAGAAGCCATGGGGGCGGGCCCGGTGGCCAAATGGTTAAGTTTGCGCACTCCACTTTGGCGGCCCAGGGTTTCGCTGGGTTGGATCCTGGGCGCGGACACGGCACTGCTCATCAAGCCATGCTGAGGCGGCATCCCACATGCCTCAGCTAGAAGGACTCACAACTAAAAATGTACAACTATGTACCTGGGGTCTCTGGGGGGGAAAAGGAAAAATAAAATCTTTTTTAAAAAAAGAAAGAAAGAAGCCAGACACCAAAAGTGACATATTGTATGGTTCTACTTATGTGAATTATTCAAAATAGGTGAACGCATAGAGATGAGCAGCAGATTGGCGGTTGCCAGGGGTGTCGGGGCAAGGAATGGGAAGCAGCTACTTAGTAGGTAAAGGTTTCCTTTTGGGGTGATGAAATGTTTGGGAACTAGATAGAGGTGGTGGTTGCACCACACAGCGAATGCACTGCATGCCACCAAATTAAAAGTTCAAAAAGAAGAAGAGAAAGTTGAAATGGTACAAAAGAGCATATGGTGAAACGTCTGCCTCCCACTCCTGTGATCTGGCCACCAGTTTCCTCTCCCCAAGGGTAACCAGTGCTGCGCAGTTTCATCCTTCCTGAATATTCCATGCATGTAAATCTGCAGCAGCCCTGAAGGTGCACAGCTCAGACCCATCTTCCAGAAAGAACCGACTACAAGGGCTGTCGTCAGCTGACAGCCTTTGGCTGCTGCACTGAAGGGATCCACCTCAGTGGTCACACTGAGGCCACACTCTCCCAGGTTGCTCTCAGCCAAGGACAGAGCCCAGCAGGGGTACTTGAGCAGCAGTCCTGCCTGACACAAGACTCCTCTGATGGGTAGTCTTTGCTCTGCAGCTGAGATTCTCTCAGAGCTGCACCGAAGCGCAGCTCTTCCTTCCCAATCCTCCTTCCCCCCCCACTCTCCCTCCACGGCGTCAGACGGGCCTTGGGAGCTGACAGCTCCTGTATCTTACTCCTGCTCTCCCTCCCCTTTATCCTCCACAATTGTTCCCCCAATAAATCTTTTGCACTTCTAATTTCATGTTGGTGTCCATTTCCTGGAGGACCCAAAGTCAGACACACACATACGCACACACCCTTTTCTTACACAAATATCCACTATACACATGGCTCTGAACCTTTTTAAATTGACTGTGTGGATATCTCAGAAACTGATCCCTCGCAGTCCACCCAGAGCTCGTTCAGCCTGACAGCCGCCCAGCAGCACGTCGTGCGGACGACCAGTGTTTACTGACCGAGCCCTTATTTGTTGATATTGTTGGATTTAATCACTTTCTGATATTTAGGTCTTTTCCAATATTTTGCAGTCATACACAATGCTGCAATGAACAATCTAGTATACATTAGATTTAAAACATATATGTGTTAAGTTCATGAAATTTAAGTATAATTCATAGAAATAAAGTTGCTAGGTCAAAATTGTGCATTTTTAAGATTCTGATAAATGTTGCCAAATTGCTGCCCTTAGGGTTACAACACATATGAGTTTGTCTGTTTCCCACACTTTTGCCAACACCATGTGTTTTCAAACTATATTTTTTGCAACCTGATGGACGAGGAGAAGAATTAAAGGAAAAAAACAAACAGAAATCAAATCATGTCAGTCTCTTGCTTAAAACTCCTCAGCAGCATCGCACGGTATCTGCCTGAAGTCTAATTTCCCTGTCCCGGCCCACGAAGCTCTGCCTCAGTGCTTCTGTTTCTTTTCCGTTCCTTAAACACGTCAAGTTCATCACCAGCTCAGGGCCTTTGTACCAGCTGTTCCTGTCACCTGGAGCACCCTTGCCTGAGCCCTTCACGTCTCAACTTAATTGTTACCTCATTAAGGAGGGCTCCTTGACCACCTTCGAAAGTTGATATCCCATATACAAATATCAAATCATTAGGTTGTACACCTGAAACCAATATAATGTTACATGTCAATCATACCTCAATAAAAAAAGTTGATATCCTTATTGTTCCTTATTATTGCACACTGTTTCCTTCCTATCGTTTATCAGAATCAGAAATTGCTTGTAGTTTGCTTTTCTTTTCCACTACATTTTACGTTTCACCGTGCCCGGCTCGTGTTGAGCGCTCCCTAAGAACAGGTTGAAAGAATGTATGAATGAATAGTGACTGAATACTTCTCCTGGACTTCCAATGACATCAGGCTATTCCTACATTCTCTCACATCCCATTATCTGTCGTAAGTACTCTGTGCTTCTAAAGCTGGAAGTTTCCTCATCCCTCAGGTGGCTGCACTTCCCAGGTGTTTTCAGCCAGCTAATATCATCCTTTGGGATCCTTCTGAAGGCAAAATGTGACTCACACCGGGGTCACAGCTGTCACAGGTGTGTCCACAGAAGCAGATTAGAGGCCCCATCAAAGACTTTCTGTTGTTGCCAAAGCAGATCTCAGGCCACAACGTGCTGCCTCCGGAAAAGACACAGATCCCAGGGCTCATCTGGGTTAATCAGAGTTTTCAAGGGAATCCACTGCATTGTACAGTTTTAAGCCAAGAGTCAAAGCAAGATGCAAACTTAGGAAATCCAAGGCAACACTTCACGTGAAAGCATGTGAGTTCACGGAACACCTTTTTATGGGCTGGGCTGTGTCCCCCTCAAATTCCTATGTTGAAGTCCTAACCCCCAGTACCTCAGAATGTGACCATATTTGGGAATAGAGTCCTTGCAGAAGTAAGTTAAGATGAGCTTATACTGACTTGGGTGGGCTCTACTCAAATATCACTGGTGTCCTTATAAAAAGGGGAAATTTGGACACAGATGCACACAGGGAGAACGCTATGTGAAGATGAAAGCAGAGGAATGCAAAAAATTGCCAGCAAGCCACCAGAGCTGGAGGAGAACATGGCACAGATTCTCTCTTGCAGCCCTCAGAAGGAATCAACCCTGCTGACACCTTGATCATGAACTTCTAGCTTCCAGAAATGTGACACAATCAGTTTCTGTTGTTAAGTCACTCATGTGTGGTCCTTTGTTAGGGCAGCCCTGGCAACTAACACAACCAGCAATCACAGAAGCCCAGCTTGGACAGCTGCGTTCTGCATCTGAGGGTAAATGTGTCCACGTTACCATCTAAATAACCTCAATCACAGCCGCGTCCTTGCTGAGTGGTAGAAAGGACATGGGGCGGGGGATGGGAGGTCCTGCGGTGGAGTCCTGGTGCCTACTCACCCCTCTGGCTTCAGTGGGCAATAAGATGAGAGGGCTGGACAGATGATCTCTTGGTTCCCTCCCAGATCAAGGCTGTATAGTGCTGTCATTCCCACACCTTTCCCCCATGGGCATGGTTACCACCAAACAGCCTGCAAGGCTTAGGGAGTCCGGGGCCCAAAATGTCTCGACAAGCAACTTCGATGTCAGAGGGGGGCTGCAGAGACCCCTTGCAGCTGGACTTGGTAACACACCCTGCGGCTCTCCCTTTCTATCCTTTCCCACTAACAGAACTGCCCTCTCTTTTCCATTTGTAAGTGTGGAATTCAGTTTTAAACTATCTCAAGGTGGCTTTGTCTACCTGGAGATCTCACCTAGGGATGTCACTCTTTGGAGTCATTTGGGAAAATATGAGGGCATTGTTAGTTATCACCTTGTCATGGGGGGAGGGGTATCAGATTTGTGGGTAAAGGCCAGGGGTGCTAAGGGTCCTACAGTGTGCAGGGAAGTCCCACCAAACAAAAAATTCTCCCACCCCAATTCCAATAATGTCTGCTGAGAAACACTCAAAGAGTGGTGTTGAGGAAAGAATACGGACCTTGGTGTCAGATGACGTTTTACTTATTGCCAATTACTTATTGCCACGTAATAAATTACTCCAAAACTTAATGACTTCAAATAATAATCTTACTATTCTCTCTCATAGTTGTGTGGGTTGACACATCAGCTGAGTGGTTCCCCTTGGGGTTTCTCACGTGGTCGTAGTTAGGTGGTGACTGGCGCTGGAGTCAGCTGAAGGATCCCTGGGCTGGATTTCCAAAATGGCGGCTCCCTCACGCGGTTGGCAGTTAATACTGGTTATGCTGGGATGTTAACTAAAGTACTTAAATGGCCTCTATATGTGGCTTAGGCTTCTCCCAGGATGGCAGCTGCTTTCCAAGAGGGAGTGTCCCAGAGGGAACATCCCACAAGAGCAAAGCAAAAGCTGCAAGACTTCTTATGACCCAGCCTTAGAAGTCACCCAGTATCACTCACACTGTATTATATTGATCAAAGCTGTCACAAGACCTGCCCAGGTTCAAGGGGGTGGAGACACAGGCTCCATCTTTTGATGGAGGAGTGGAAGAAGAACATGAGGGATGAGTCCATCTTTGAAAATATAATTTACCACAGAGGACTTGGCTTTAGGTTTGCCCCTTCCAATTGCTATAGCAAAGACTTCCATTAAATCCTGAACCTCTCTGAGTTTTGGTGTTTTCCTAGAAAACAGGGACTAACATGGGATCTAACTTGCTAGGATGCCTTTAAAATCTATGGTAACCATTGCTAGTCGTTACTGTTGGTGTTTTCCTATTAGTAGGAAAGACAGTCCCAGTTCCAGAAATACTCCTAATGCTACGCATGAGTCTGCCACTTCATCTTTGCTGACTTCATGATTGAGGGTTTTGAAAAGCACCCTAGGTGTGTGGTGGGGGAGGTAAAGCCATTCTTTGACCAATGGAAGTCCAGCCTTCGTCCCTTCATTGGATTTTTAATTAATTTGTATTTTTATTTTATCAAAATATATCATCTGTAAAAGTCCCTTGACCTCCTTCCTACCTCATCTTCCTTCTGTTCCCCGGAGGCAATCACTTGAAACATTTATAGCTTTTTATTTTGGGTATTTACATTCATATTTTTAGATAATAGGCATATACAGCGCTCTCTCTTGTCACTCATTTTCAATATTTTCCACTTCAGTAAGTGAATATTTGAGATCGCTCATCCCTCCCCTTTCTGTGCTTTCTATCTTTCCAACATAATGGTTTGTCAGTTTTTGGTTAGATCCACACACGATGTTTACATTATTATGATTATGTAAAATAAACATTGTTCACTACTGAGCTGAGTAGTGAACTGAAATTACATTTCTTTTTCTCAACATTTTCTTCTTCCTGGAGTTGCTAATTTCTTCATATTTTGCATTTGCTTCGTTTTCTCTGAACATCTAAGTTTTTCCATATTTCCAACAACTCTGCAAATGATTCTTTATACACATTTTTTTACGTCTCAAATCTGTTGATGATCAGAATTTCCTTGAGAAATTCTTCCTGGAGTCCTCAACGCTCTGCTCCAACCTGGACGGTTGGTTCCCAGGCCTGCCCCACAGCTCTTGTCCTGGCACTTCCCTTCACCAGCATGGTGGAAATTCTCTTTGCCCCCTCCTTTGCTGCATTGCAAGCCTTCTTCTTTCTGGGTTATTCCCTCATCATGGTACAGCATTCTCCAGTGGCTACCTAAGGAAGGGAACATCAGATGTAAATTTTTTTTTTTTGTATTTTGCGTGTTTGAAACGTCTTTATTTTACCTTTATACTTATTTGATAGTGTGTCTGGGAATAGAAATTTAGGCTGAAAATAATTTTCCCTTGGGATATTGAAAGCAGTTTTCCAATGTCTTCTAACTTCCACTGCTTCTATTGAGAAGTCCAGGGTCATTCTGATTCTTGATCTTTTCTATGCAAACTTTTTAGTTTTCCCTTTGAAAACTCTTAAGATGTCTTCTTTATCCCTGGAGTTCTGTAGTATCACAATGGTAAATCTTGGTCTAGGTCCATTTTCAACTGTTATGCTGGGCATTTCAATTGAGACTTGTGTCCTTCAGTTCTGGAGCTTCTTCTTGTATTATTTCTTTCTTTAATAACTTCCCTCCATCATTTTTCTCTGTTATCTCTTTCTAAAACTACTCCTTGGATGTTGATCCTCCTCAATTACTCTTTTAACTTTCTTGTCTTTTTTTCTTCTATTGCTTCTCTCTTTGCTTTCAGAGAAATTTCCTTAACTATATCTTCCAACACTGCTACAGAGTTTTTGAAATTCTCACTTCATGTTTTTGATTTCTAAGAGCTCTTTCTTGTTCTGCTTGTTCCTTTATCGTCACATCTTGTGGTTACAGCAGCTCTCTCATGCCTCTAAAGATATCAAATACAATTTATTTTCAGTTTCTGCTGCTCATTCATTGTTTCTGCTTCCTCCACAGATCCTTTTGTCTTCCTGTTTGATTATTTTATTCTCTTGTCATGTTGGATGCCTTTTTTCCTGGTGATCCTCGAGTACCACTCAAATTTAAGGACACAGCCCTGAAGAGCTGATTGGAAGTCCTGTGTACATGGATGGGACGTATTCTAGGGTGATCAGGGACATAATGGCCTTTTTCACCAGGAGCCTACAAATGTCAATATGTGCAGGTCTTTTTCCTGAAGTGGGTCAGTTTCTGCAGAAAGAAATCTTTTGATCTCCTGCCCCTATTGTTCTGAAGCCAGATGGGGGAAGGGACAAGGGAGGAGGTCTCGCTCAGTGTGCAAATTTTCACCCCACCCCAGCCTCCCTCTGTAAGTGATGTCATGAGCACAAAGTCTCTCTGGTTCAGTTTTTCTAGAAAATAAATCTCTTGTTTCCTGCAGAAAGGGGAGTAAGGATTGGGACCTGCAAGTCTATCTGCCTATATTTCTAAGTAATCCCTCTGTTTTCAGGCCCCACATCATCCCTTCCGCAGTAGCTGGTGCCCCAATTCTTGAAATTTGCCAAGGTTCTATGGGCCACAGCAATCTGATTCTCTTTGGTATATGCCAACCCTGCCCCCAGGCACTCAGTTTGGCCTTTCTTCTTCTCTGCTCATTCTTTCACCTTTCCACTATCTTCATATATTGTGGTTCAGGGTTACGTATGTCTCCTAACATGTAAGAGAGTTTTGAGGAGGAGCTAGAAATCGCTCTACCCACTATCTTGAAACTCACGGTCCTGGCAGCCTGTAAGTCAGTGTTGGAAAAAAACATCTTTTGTGTTACCCTCTAATCAACAAAATGTGTGGAGCATCTCAAAAGGCTCAGAACTCTCTAATGATAGCAGCAACAACAGCAGTAACCATTTTTGGCACCTAGTATGTGCTAAACACTTTGCATAAATTATCTTTGATCCTCACCACAAATTACAAGGTAGGAATTATTATCCCCATTTTACATATGAGGAAACTGAGGCCCAGCAAATTTCAATAACTTGTCCCAGTTCATCCCTTTGATCAGTGGCAGGGTGAGAATTTGAATCCAGGTCTGTGGGGCCCCAAATTGCCTCTAACAACCAGTGCCTTACAAGTCTAGCTCAAGTCACCCAGTAGGTGGGCCTCAAATCTTGGGTAATCCGTCACGTCTAACATACTATTGTGCATCGGTGCTTAGGAGGGAAGCCACAGTGCATCCTTTCATGGTGCAGATAAGCCCCCTTTGTATATATGTTCTGTTTAGTGGTTCTCATCTTGTTTGTGTTTGAAGTGAGCCCTCCAGGTGAACGGCTAGGGCTTGAGTCTGTGGTGTGCAGCCATGAGCTGATTTTAAAAGAACTCAGTTCAACAGGAAGACTAATGAGACTGACTGCCCTCCCCCTGCTCTGACTCCTGCTGATTGTGGAGCTAGAGTGGGAGCCAGCGTAGCCATGGTGATGGTGGCAGGCTGCTGACAGCCCAGGGAAGGTGGGGAAGAGGCATCCTGCAGGGGATGAGGCCAAAGGATTTCTCTGAAGAGGCTCCTGGGGGAGGGGTTCTAGGGGAGGGGCTTCTCCCCCAGGAAGCTGGGCACGGGTGAGTGCCACCTGCCTTTCCAGCCTCCTCAGCACTCACGTTCTCACCTCTTCCCCTGACTCACCAGGCAGGTGGGTGACTCACAGCACCTGGGGTGTAACCAGGGCAGAGGCGGCACACGGCAGCCTCCCGCTGGGATGCTCAGTGGGCTCCAGAGGGAGGGGACGGGATCCACCTGGAGAAGGCAGATCTGAGGGCCCTGAGCTTTGCTTGGACAGGATTGAGGAGGTGATGGGGCCCACTCTCCTGCACCCTGTCCCTGCCCTGCCTCCATCTCCACATTTTCTGATCCACTTCCTTACTTGGTGGCTGAGCCTCGGATGTCATACTCATTGACACTGCTTGACAGGGAGGGCAGAGGGCCTCTGGCCCCATTGCTTTCACTGGGTTTGGTGGCTGAATATACATGCAGTGTTCCCTGAATGTCACACCCTGCTCCAATCCCCACACAGGCTTCCCTTCACTCCCAGTGTAAAGACAGGACTCTGAAAGTGGCCAGTGCTGCCATGTGCTCTGTGCTGGGCTTCCTCTCCAGTCCCCAATCCTACCTTGGTCCCCTCTACGCTCTTCCCTGGGCCACACTGGCCACCTTTCCATTCGCAGCCGTTCTCTTACAGGGCCATTGCATATGCCCTTCTCTCTGCCTAGGATGCCCCACTCCCTGCCCACTTTTGCCGCTTCAGATATCAGCCCAAACAGCACTTCCTCAGAAATGCCTTTCTTGGCCTCTTGGACCAGTCACTTCACCCCTGAGGCCCCCAAGAACCTCTTTTTTTTTTTTTTTTTGGTTAGGAAGATTTGCCCTGAGCTAACATCTGTGCCAGTCTCCCTCTATTTTGTATGTGGGATGCCTCCACCGCATGGCTGATGAGTGGACTATGTCTGCACCCGGGATCTGAACCTGTGAATCTAGCTGCCAAAGCTGAGCACATGGACCTTTAACCACTTAGCCACGAGGCCCCCCATGAACCTCTTTGCAGCATTCCTCACAGCGGCCATGTCTCGTATGAGATCTCTCTGCCCTGCTGGACTGGAAGGGCCGGGAGGGTGGGCCAGGCCTTGGTGTCTGCTTCCATTGGATTCCCTGCACCTTGCACAGTGACTGGCAGGTGGTTTTCACTCAACGGGAAGCAAGGAAGGAAGGACAGGAGGGAGGGAGGAGCATATCCATTTGCCCTGCCTGGGAAAGTAGCCAGTGCAGCCCACTGCCCTGCACCTGCCCTGGCTAGGAGGCAGAAACCAATGAGACCTTTCTCCCAGCCTGCTGTTCCCCCATCTGACCAGAGGCCATGATGATGGTGAAAATACTATGGATGTTAAGGGCTTTGGGCTCCTCAAATCAAATGATCATTTTTCCTGCTCTCAAATATGCATTTCTTAAAGGTGGG